ATATAAATGTCATGTGTAGTAGCATGAACAATGAAGCATCAGAAAGGATTCCCAATTTAATTTAGATCATTCTCTTCTCACTATAGAAACGCTGAACCCTTTTCATGCATGTCCAACTAATATCCATTAGACAATCACTTGCGTAGCTATAATGTTCATAGGATTAAACTGCCTGGCACCTAGGCAATTTTGGCCACTTTGAACTTTGAACTGTACTGAGACTTTATAGAACGGGTCCTATAGAACATGTGACAGCAAATGGAATTTGATTTTTAAGATGAACATTTTTTCCTTTAGTCTGATGAAGTATGGTCGACGGGAGGTGAGCTGTTCGACAGGGTCCCCTTACCAGCAGTGAAGCCTATTTTTAGGCTGATGATTTTGGTGATAATTTAATTCAGAACTTTCTTTATACTGGAAATACCCTTTCAATACAAAATAGTCTTGCAAGAGGTCAAGATTTAATAGTAAAACAATCAAGCAACAAAACAAATAATCACTATTGTGAATCTAATCTGTGCCCTGAAGCTACTGTAAGTTTGTTAAATATCCATCCAAAAATCTACAACACCAACATTAGCTATAACTACTGTATGGCTGAGTACATCAAATGGTTTCACAATTTTGACGTTTTCTTTACCAAATCCTTTCATAAGTGTGTGAGAAAGCATTCAGATCCAGTGACTGGTTAAAAGATGTAATTAGGAATGTTTACCTGTTTCAGAATAAATCACTAATAATAAGTCGAAGGTGGTGCACCTCTATTAGCTGTCAGACTATGGAGGTATAAATACCTCCAAAGACTAGTCAGACACTTGATGGCAAAATATGAAATATTTGTGACGTGATACAGTATCCTACTGTAGTACTACCTTTATAATCACTAATTATGCAACTTAAATCAACGCTGCAGGCAATGAGTAAATATGTGCAAGATTATCACCTAAAAATATATCTGAACAAGCCAGTCAGTTGAAAAAAAATTAAAAAATAGCGATACATACTGTGTCATCATAACAGTGTGACTCACTAACTGTTAAAACAGCAACACCATCTTAAGAATTGCAAGGCAATTCTGTTGTAAAATTCATGCCTATTTAATATAATAAATGCTGCATGGATACCATCTTCAGAACAGAACACATCTACAGTACCCATTGAAAGCCGGTCCCTGATTGGCTAATAATGACAGGATTTACATTGCATATTAGACATTATAACCAGGGTAATCAGCTTAGAA